AATAGAAATGTCGTGTTTATGCGTGGATATAAAGAATACTCTTTCAATTAATTGTTAATCTTCAGCATTCACCTTCACACTTACGATAAGAATTTAGTGACTTTTTCTGAAGAATTTTTTTAAAAGAGTGTATTTATTACTTTTACTGCTCCTCCTCCCCTCTACCCCCCACCATCTTTCTCCCCTCCCTTAAATTCTTTTTGGCAAATGCCACTACAGTGGTCGAATGTGACACTCTTAAGGGAAGTACTGATACCAGCACATGTGCGGCAAAAGAACATGCCCCCGGTATTCGCTGGCCTGAGTGAAGATTGTCCCCGAGGTCCTGATCAGATGAAACAGAACAAGCATAGCCTATCTTTTCTCTAAGTTAATTGCTTGTATACTGGGGAACAGTATTTTTATCTAAATTTATATTCATTTAATCATTTTATTGTTCTTTACATTAAATATTTATATCTCTATTATTGACTAGGTGGGCTTTGGGAGTTTGGTAGATTTTTTTAACGCAGCAATTTTTGCAGTAGGTAGGTGCTTATCAGAATTACCTGGGGAAAAACTTCAAAATAAACAGAGTGATTATGTTTCTACTCCAGTCCAACCTACTCCAGTCCAAATGTTTCTACTCCAGTCCAAATTAGGATATTGGTGGGGACATGTGTATTTTGTAAAAGCTCCTTATGTAATTCTGATAACTGTTTGCTACTCCAGTTGAGAGTAAAGTTTTAATTTGATAAAGACTGGCTTAACTTATACTTAGCTTTTTTTGCACTCCGAGTTATTGAAAGATCTCTTTCCCAGACATATACTACGTGGTTTGCAACCCAAGAATAACCATATACTACTCTTGAAAAAGAGTTTTAAAATTCTGGTTAAATCTTCCACCCTTTCTACCTACAGCAAGGGGCTGTGTGTGTTGGTGAGCAAGGGAAGCCCATATTCTTTTTCTTTGCTCCTTCTGTTATCACATTTGTGCATTGTCCCTTTTCAGTTTCTTTTTGTATAAGTAAATAGCAATACTGTCAAAATTAAATAGTATGTGTTAAATAAATAACACATTTGAAAAAAATACCCCTAAGTGAAAACTGGGGTGGGAAGGAGGTCAACCTTTTTATTTTTCCTTCCCTTCCTTAATTTTTTATGTCTGTAGTTGATGATATGGAATTACTTTGGGATAAACAAAAGACTAGAACTACCTCTTCAATAGGAAGCACAGGCTGCAGCAGTTGCCTACCCACATGCTAAGGTCCCCAGAATAATACAAGAGGCCTTTCCAGCCCACACATATTATTCTTTACTCTTCAACAGGGCTATCCTAATGTTCTGACTGTGCTATACAACATGGCAGGTTCCATTTCCTGTCTCCTTTAAATCCTCTTTCTTTAAGCACCCAGCTTCCTTATTACTAGCCCAGGCTTATTTGGGTCCTTTTCCTTCTTTGTCCTCTAAGGTTCTTTCTAAGCAGATGGAAAAATAGATATTCCTAAACCGTAAACTCTACCAGTACTAGTGTTCACTTAAAACCAAAAAGGAAAATGTCTTACTGTCTTTTTATAACAGTTTGGCTATTTCTCTTCTTCCCTCCCCAGATATTGACTAGGAAGAGATACATATAGAGAAAAATACCCCTTGTTTACATAGTCTTAAGATACGATGTTAGTCTTCCTTCTGCAAAATAGCTCTCCAACCTTGAAACAGGTCTTAAGAGAAATATTTTAAGAGAGAAGGAGCATTTAAACTGAGTTTTAAAAATGAGCATGCCTTCTCTTTATCACTGCCTTAGTTTCTCTGTTCATATTCTGTAGCCTAAATAGCTGTGCAGCTACAAATAGGGCTTGGTTATAAGATCTCCAGGTTGCAAGGCAGATGATGTCTATTTTGTTTATCACTACATCCCTAGTGTCTAGTACAATGCTTGGCACAGAGTAGGTGCTCAATAAAAACTTTGTGACCAGTGAAAGCAGCAAAAACACAGCTGAGTAGAAATGAAATAGTCCACACACACACACACTTTTACAACAAAATAACAAGCTTATTACTTGGTTAACAAGCTTTGTTACTTGGTTTCCTTAGAAAGCCTTTAGTTCTTTCCTAAGTTATAACCAGAAGAATTTACAAAAGGATTTAGAATGTTCAGGACAACAAGTAGAAGTGGGAATGGAGTGGTAGGAGTAGACCGTTTACTGCAGAGAGAAGAATCAGGCCGAGACTTAGCAGTTGGAGGTCTGTGCATAACATTACTGAGCAGAGAAGGGATGGGGATCCAAGGACCATTGCTTAGGGGGCCAGGGTGGTTTAAGGACCACTTGAGTCCTCAGTAGCCCCCTGAGGATGTTGCAGAATATAGTGCCATATAATAACCTATGTGCATAGATAAGTATAGTTACTTTTATTTTACTAAAATAAGCATTTTAAAAACCACCATATTTCCATTAAAATAGTTAAAAATTTAAACATTTTGATGCATAAATGGTTTCATCTTTTTACTCCAAAATATGTCTATCATTCCTTAAAAGTGTGCAATAATAAGTGTTACTGACTAGATCCATAAAGGAGCTGACAATATGGGCCCTTAACCTTGTTGCTGACATATATCAAATGTGCAAAGCAGTGAAAATGATGGACGAGGTATAAATAAAAGGCAGTATTTATGTAGTTCAGCCCAAGTTGGTACTCTAAGAATTAATATCATAAAACTCAGCATATTGTAAACATTGATCTTTACAAAGGAAGATTGATGTTTACAAAGGAAGCAGTGTTTTTAAATTAAACTTTCTGTTGAATGATAATATACATACAGAGTAGTATACAAAGAAATATACATTTAATGAATTGTCACAAAGTCACAGCCAAGTACCCAGCATCCAGATCTAGAAAAAACATTACCAGAAAGAACCCTAGAAGCTCTCTGCACCTGTTCTAGTTTCTGTCTGTCCTCTACCACATCCCCACTGCTCGAGGATACCACTGCTCTGATGTCCAATAGCATAGTTTTAGTTTGAAACGGTGGTGTTAACATTTATTCTGAAACGTTTTAGCGATTCCTTTAATGAGCTTAAGGTAAAGAGGAAAGAAGCATGACTATAAACTGTTATCCTTTGAATTTGTTTCTCTTTCTGAATCATGCTTGAGGATAAGCATGATTGAATTAGATCAAAATGCTTGGGCGGTTTGAGTTTGGGTCTGTATGTACTTAGGTCCCATGTTTGTGGAAAAGATGGAAGCTCTGTTTTCTACATTTCTCTGTTTTGATGAGGAACAAATTTTGTAGTGTCACTTTCTTTTCTGCCTGTGTCTTGGCTTCAAAGGGAATTACTACCTGTCCATTCAGAGTGGAGTCCTGTCTACCTTTGATGTTGTCATCTATGTTAATGTATTATTAAATAAGCACACTACTATATTCACATAAGGTATGAAATATGAACTGTTCCCTATTTTACACATTTATTTTGAATTAACTATTTGGGTTTCCAGAATTAACTGTTCATGGGTATTGACTTAATTTTTCATACAGGAGAAAGTGGCCAATAAAAGGTGATTTGGATGGAATTTTCCAAACCAGTGGCTTTGTATCGTAAATCTTGGCTTATAGCACTCTTTGTACTCTAAAAAAATTTCTTAGGATTCCAGTCAAACTCTTATACTGTTTATAAATTGAGTTGAGTCTTAAGCTTTTGCTATTTAGAGAAATGAATGTGTGTGTTTTAAACTATGGAAGTTGCCAGATTGGGGGCAGCCCTCTGAATAGGAAAATTGTCAATTCAACAGTTTTCTTATTGCCTTGCTAACTAGATACTCTTAGATTTGTTAGAGGTTCCAGTTTTAAGACTATTAAGAGTCTTGATCCCTAGCTGGGACTACCAATTAGGAGTTTATCTGGTGTGATTTTACTAGATTCCTTTTTATATGTTATGTACATTGGCTATTTAAAAAAAATTTTTGATAAAATATACATAATATAAAATTTACCATTTTAAATCAGTACCATTTAACTTTTAAGTGTGCAGTTGGCCATTTGATTAGAACTTTTATTCATTTGTATCAGTTCTAATCAGCAGCTAATGAGGATCAGCTATGTATCTTGTGCTGCTGTTGGTAGATTAATGGAAATTTTGAAAGTGTAAATATGGTTCCTGTTCTCAGGATCCCTGTTCTTAGTCTCAAGGAGATTAAGCCTTTTTGTTTCATTAGGGAAACAAGATATATGTGCACCAGTTAAATATTGATGGTAGATAAGGCCTCAAATGTTTAAGGAAAGCTTTGTATAAAGGTGGAACTCAACTTGGCTCTTAATTGGGGCAGAATCTGTCTAGTTTGAGAGAAACAAGGAGTGGGGAGCAGTGTGAATTATTAATAAAATGGTATAACAGCCATTTCATTGTTAAGCCCATTGTTTTTTAGAGAATCTTTTGTTTTTCTAGTTTTGAAGCTCTCAGTGTTTTGTTTTTAAGATAAGCTGAATATTCAGATGAGGAAACATTATTGACATATAATTAATACTTTTAAAAGTCACAGAAACCAAACTTATTTAATTGTGAAATAGACAGTATTAAAAATTCAGATTTATAGTGGCAGAAGGGTTAAATTTCCTATTAAAATTCTATGCAAATATCTGTGTTCATGCAGCATTAAACTTTTCAATATATTACCACTTGGGAGTAGGTATTTCATTAGTGGGTTTAGAACAATTGCAGTTACAGTTTTTATGAAAAATAATTGTGCAAAAATATGCATGTAATGAAACGCATATTTATTGAAATTAATCTTGAATGTTTGCTACCTTGAAATCAGGTAAAATGGTTAGGAGGGGTGTGTATTGTGAGTAAAGAGTGAGTTATAATTAATTCTGAATAATCTTGTGCCAACACTTAATGGCAAAAGATTGTGCCTGTTTGGTTTTGTCTGTAATGGGTCAAGGATTTCATCTGGGCTGAACATAATGTCTTCTATACAATATGAATCACAAAGTTAAAACCATTTTTTGCTTCTCATATCTGCAGACAGGCAAATGTACACTGGGGACCACCATGTTCACGTGACATCAAGAGGAAACGGAAACCTGTGGCCACAGCATCTCTGTCTAGCCCCAGTGCAGGTGATTATATGCAGTTATCCTTTTTTTGAGCACCTACAGTGTGTTGGGCACTAAATTATATGTTTTGTATACCTTTTCATCTAATCTTCATGATAAGATATGTCATTTTATTCCCATTTTACATGGATAGACTGAGACTATGAGAAGTAATTGCCCAGTTCTCCCTGACCCTGAAGTCTATGTTTTTCACTATCGCATGACTTTTTAGCATGTGAAACTGTATATTCCACTGTGAGCAATCTCCAGTTATCTGAGCTCTTGTTCTAGCACAGACAGGAAATTGGGTCCATGTTAATGAAAATCCAGTTGAGGAGGCTGTTCAGTCAGTAGTCAGGGAGTCCCGTGGGTTAATTTGCTTCTTTAGTGTACAGTACAATACATTCTTAACTGCTTTTATGAATAATACAGGGTAGTATTTTACTAGTCAAGAAATTTTTAATTAAAAACAAATTTTCAGTTTAAAACTTCCAGTTTTCTTTGTAAAACTAATACTAATCGGAAGAAGCCAAAATAGTGGTTGTCTGTTGTGGGGGGTAGTGACTAAGAGAGCACAAAGAAACCTGGGGTGCTGGAAATGCTCCAGTTTTGAACTAGGTGGGGGCTATGTGGCTGTTGACAGATGTAAAGATTCTTGAGCTGTGCATTTAAGATTTATGTACTTTACTACATCTGTGTTATCCTTAAATGAAAGAAAAGGGATAATTATGTATTCCTATCAGTGAGAAAATTGGATATTTGAGTACAAATCATAGATTATTTTCCTCAGAAAATAGTGTATATTACATAGATCAGAGCAGCTGATAGCTGAGTAAAGGGCAAAACCTAGACAGGTACAGAACTCTATCCCCAAGTTTTAGCAAACTCTGAAATTGTCCTTTTTGAGCTTCTCTTTGGGATGTCTGCTTGAAGGTGGCTCATACTAGACAGTGTTAATCACAGGTCTGATGATCATAGTAAATTTTTTAGTGCTTTTCTATGGCCAGGCCCAGAGCCGAACACTTTGCAAGTGTTATTTCACTTCATGTTTGCAACAGTTTTATAAGGTAGATGCTGTTTTTATTTCCAGTTTACAAGTGAGAAAACTGAGGCTTAAATCACTTCCCCTGGGTTCATTTGCAGAGCCAAGATCAAACTAGTTTCCTTGTCACTCTAGAGCTGCCCTCTTAAACACTACAGGTGTTCTGTCTTTTTATATATGGTAGGATTGATTCCAAACTATCACCCACATCAAAACTCAGATCCTTATCCAGTCTGTGGTATTTGAACCATTAAAACAAAACCTTCCCACTTTTATCTCTTCTTTCTTTTTTTCCTCAATATCTAGTTTCTATTTTTAGTTTGTAATTTTTTATAGGAGAATATCCATTGAGAAGAGTTTTAAATCCTTATTCCATATTCAAATTGGGAAATGTATGGGATGTGGGGATAATTAAACAAGACTTGAGTGTTAAATGTTTCCTTACAGAGCCTAACTCATCTCCTCTCACTTGTTGCCTAAGCCCTGCTTCGCTGAGCATTTTCTTTTTTTTTTTCTACCCACAACCTGAGTGCCCCATGGAGGTGAAGGACATAGCCTGAGCCTGTGCCATCAGTCAGTAGAACAAATGGGCTTGCTCTGCCTAACATCGGGCCATCTCGGATTCCACCTCTTTTATAGGAATGAGTGATGAAGAGAGGTGCGTTCCGCTTTGCCGCTGTATTAATACACATCAGGGGCCAGCTCCTGGCACTAAATCACGCTACTGCATACATCTGTTATCGGATTCTTCACCAGTGTGATGAACAAGACTGCAGATAGAGGCTTCCTTGTGTCATTCTTTATAGGATTTTCCTAAAAGAATAAATAGCTCAGATCTCTGCCAACACTCTCCCCTGTCACTGTGATGAATTCAGCTTCTTTCTTAAACATGCAGCCACAAATCTTTTCCCCTCCCCCACTGGTAGAAAGTTTTGAGTTGAAATTGAGTGAATTTAAAAATATTAATAAGTCTAGAGGGGTGAAGAGCAGGAAGAAACAGCAGGTCTTCCTTGTCTTTTTGTACTAATAGTAACAAAAGGCCAGATAAAAGACCTGTAAATGAGCATAGGGTTGTTAAGTAGACATCTTGAAAGTATAGCACCTTTATTTTCTTCTTTTATCTTCGCTCCCCTCTCCTTTATGGCTTATATAGCACGCAGGTGTCTGGTGCACAGAGCTATACCCGAGATCATAGTGAGTGAGCATGCAAACCTGCTTCCACGACTAATACACCAGAACAGGGATTCCCAGCAAATCTCGACCTCATGCTGAAGTGAACTATGTATATGCTCTTAAAGAATGTACTTGGACAAGAAAAAATGGACTATTTTCTCCAAAATTTGAGACCAAGTAATGTACTGCAAGGAACCCAGATGAAAACCAGACTTCATTGTCTTGAAATGATTTTCTTCATCAGAATGGTAGATCAGAGCTCTTAGCATGCAAATTCCAATCCTTCAATAAGTAAACACATGGCTTTTGGGAAAGGGAAATTGAAGTGATCAGAGATTCTATTCAGAGCCAGGACTATTTTGGCTATTCCTTTTTCTTCCATTTCTCTCCCTGGGATGGGATATACATCCTTAGAGCATCATTCAGAAAGAAGGGTACCTAATAGTTAATCCGTTAATTAGTTATATTAGGTTTCTAGTACCAGGCCGTGATGCTAGAGATGCATTCACAAGGGCAGGAATTTTTAATCTGTTTGCTCATTCCTGTACCCCTAGCATCTCCATGGAACAAACTCACTAGATATTTGTTGTATGAATAAATTAATAGACTCTTAAGGTCACAAGAGTTATTTTCAATATTATTCTAACCCCACAGTTGGATTCATTAGGTCCATTTTAGAATGACCCTTGTTTCAGAAGTCAGAGGGCAAATTCTTATTGCCCACTATGTCTTTTTGAAGTTTAAATGTTTTTTTTTTTTTATTTCGGCATATTATGGGGGTACAGATTTTAAGGTTTCAATAAATGCCCATTCCCCCCCGCCCCCCAAAAGTCTGAGTCTCCATCATGACTATCCCCTAGATGGTGCACATCTCACTCATTATGTATGTATATACCCGCCCCCCTCCCCCCTCCCTCCTGCCCAATACCCTATTACTGTAGTACCTATGTGTCCACTTAGGTGCTACTCAGTTAATACCAGTTTGCTGGAGAATATATCTGGTGCTTGTTTTTCCATTCTTGGGATACTTCACTTAGTATTATGGGTTCCAGCTCTAACCAGGAAAATATAAGATGTGCTATATCACCATTGTTTCTTAGAGCTGAATAGTACTCCATGGTATACATATACCACATTTTATTAATCCATTCTTGGATTGATGGGCACTTGGGCTGTTTCCACAGCCTTGCAATTATGAATTGTGCAGCTATAAACATTCGAGTGCAGGTGTCTTTTTTGTGGAGTGTCATTGGATCATTTGGGTAGATGCTCAGCAATGGGATTGCTGGATCAAATGGTAGATTCACTTGTATCGCTTTAAGGTATCTCCATATTGCTTTCCACAGAGGTTGAACTAGTTTGCAGTCCCACCAGCAGTGTAGGAGTGTTCCTCTCTCTCCGCAACCACGCCAGCATTTATTGTTTGGAGATTTTTTGATAAAGGCCATTCTCACTGGGGTTAAGTGATATCTCATTGTGGTTTTGATTTGCATTTCCCTGATGATTAGAGATGTTGAGCATTTCTTCATATGTTTGTTGGCCATTCTTCTGTTGAAGTTTAAATGTTTTTTAAAGTTAAAACTGTGTTTTAGTATTTTTGAATGTAGTCATTATTGAATGACTACACGAGAACATTTATAGTAGATGCATAAAGAAAAACAATACAGTAAATATCAATGTACCTACCATCCACTTTAGGAAAAAGAACATTAACTTTAAAATCTTATGCCTACTTTCCACAGAGGTAAAAGTTATCCTGATAGTTTTTTGTTTATTATTTATCATTCTTTTTTTTTCAAGTATTTTAACAGATATGTGTATCTTTAAGCAATATATTATCTAGTTTTGCAAGTTTTTGAACCTTGTATAAATGGAATCAAACTGTATGTCATGTTTTATAGGTTCCAATATTTACACAGTTCTGTTCTTGAGATTCATTCGTGTTTTGTCCTGCTAGAATCCATTCATTTTTAATTGCCATATATATAATATTTCATTGTGTGAGTGTGATGAATGTACTGCAATTAAACATTCTTGATGGACATGTGGATTATATCCTGTTTTATGCTATTGTGAAAACTGCATTGTTCTCTGAGAGAACAAGTGCAGACATTCTTCAAGTGCACTTAACACCCATTAGGATGGTGTATCAAAAAACAGAGAACATTGCATGGTAGCAAGGATGTGGAGAAACTGGAACCCTGTGCATTGCTGGTAGGCATGCAAAATGATGCATCACTGTGGAAAATAGAATGGCAGTTCCTCAAAAAATTAAACATAAAACTACCATATGATCTCATAATTTCACTTCTGGATATATACATAAAAGAATTAAAAGCAGAGACTCAAATAGATTTTTATTCACCCATGTTCACAGCAACATTATTCACAATAGCCAGAAGGTAGAAACAATCCAGATGTTCATTGCCAGATGAATGGATAAACAAAATATGTCATATACCGGCAATGGATATTATTCAGCCTGAAAGTCTTTGTTATTCAGAATGAGATTCTGACACATACTATAACACGGATGAAGACATGCTAAGTGAAACAAGCCAGACACAAAAGGACAGACAAATATTGTATGATTCCACTATTTTGAGCTACCTAGAATATTCAAATTGATAGAAACAGAAAGTAGAATGGTAGTTGCCTGGGGCTGGGGGAAGAGGGGAATGGGGAGTTATCATTTAATGGGTATAGAGTTTCCATTAGACATGATGAAAGTTCTGGTGATAGATAGTAGTGATGGTTGTACAACAGTATGGATGAACTTAATGGTCCTGAATTGTACATTTAAAAATGGTTAAAATAGTAAATTTTATGTATATTTTACCATCATAAAAATAGCAAAAAAAGTTTTTCTAGGGTAGGGTTTTTTTTCCACTGGGATTTGGTGACCATGTAAGGATAAGGTATAGTTTTGGGAAATTTATTATCAGTTAAATATGAATAATTATGTGTGAATGAGTTTGTTGTGAGTGTGTGTACGTGAAAGAAAGAGTGAAAAATTTGAGTTGTCAGATATATTTCTTGCTGCTGTGGTTGAAGTTCCAAAACCTTTCAAAGCCATTGCTCTCAAGAACTCTTGTATATGTGCTATAGAGTAAAAGCTTTCAAGATATTTTTATAGTAACCCACCGTAAGAAATTCATGTTTGGATATATGTGTGTATGTATATGTAAATCTGAAATTAATCATGGGTATACTCTGATATTTTCTGTTTTTTTCCATTGAGGAAAAAAGTGGTAATGATCATAACCCACTGAATTGATTTTGTAACCCACAATTTGAAAATTACTGTTCTAGGTTATATTCCTGGGAGTGGAATTATTGGATGATAGGGTAAAATCTGAATTTTGCTAGATTTTACCATGTTTTAGTGTGTAATTGTGCTCAACAGAGTGGGTAGTGATGATGGGGGTTTGTACTGCTCTAGTCAGGGGCATTTGGAAATGTGAAGAAAATGTTTGGTTGTCACAGTGACTAGGGAATGTTAATGGCATTCAGTAGACAGGATCCAGAATCATAATTGTTCCAATATATAGAACAGCCCTGCACAAGCAATGATTATCCTGTCCAGAATGTCTTTAGTGACCTTATTGAAAAGTACTGGGCCTATGTTCTCTTTCTACCATTTTCCTTGTTGTATGGTATGTATTTATTGGTGGCACTGTCCTAGTGGACATAGAATATGACAGAAACAGGATAGGGCTTCAAGTTCAGTATCCGAGTTTGAATTTTGCTTCTTAACCAGCTTGTTGCATCACTGAACAATTTATCTGACCTCTCTATACCTCAGTTTCCTGATACGGGAAATGGAGGTGACAGAGTCTACTAATAAGAGTTTGCATTAGAAAATAAGATCATGATAATGCAGTGCTTATGCAGTGTAGTGCCTGTCACATAAGTGCTTATTAAAAAGTGGTTTTTATTACATTACGAATTTGTATTGCTGAATGTTTTCATTTGTTCACTTAAACCCATTTTCTCAGATAGTGAAATACTTATCTCACTTAAATCTTGCCTTTATTTTTTTGTAGGAAAAAAGAGAAATTTTATGTGGCCACTTGGGTTGATAAGATGTGAAATATAAGGATTTAGAAAATTTTGTTTCTAAGTGTCTCTCATTCTAATTTGTCTTATTCTAATGTATTTTCCCTTGATGCTTTTTCCTCCTTATTTTTGTAACAATCTTATTAGTTCACACGGATGCAATGGAGCCAACCACACCAGCATCACAGGCCCCGAAATCTCCAGACTCTGAGTGGCTGATCAGGACCTCGGCAGCAGAGAAAGCCACAGATTCAACGACAGCTACGTTTTTTAAAATGCCACAAGAAAAGAGCCCTGGATATAGCTAGAGAGCACTATTTCACCCTCCACGAGTTGACTGGGTGATGTTGAAACAAATGTTAGACTTGGTATTATATATTCTTACATATCTTAATGGACATTCCCAATCCTTTCTGCCAGAACCGACTCCACTCCAAACACAGCAGCGGACTTTCTCTTAGGAAATCATGTTGTGGGAATTTTTTTTTTTTTTAATTAGTAAACTATTGAGACAGCAATTTTTTTTTAACAAAAAGGTCATCTGCTCTGTTACATGATTATTGCTGTCCCAACATTTACCTACAGCTCCATTCACAGAGCTGTTGTTTTTTTGCAGTTATGTCTTTATTCTTGAAAAACTAGTTAACTGCTTTTGCATACCTTTTGTGTACAGCTTTTAATATCATTTGAGGAAGTCCCAAATTTGTAGCCAGTTCCACAATTTAAATACTGAATTAGGGCCTGTATGGAATCGTGTTTACAGGAGATAAGGCCTGCCTTTGAGCCTAGTCTTGGTTTACTCAGAGTGCCAATAAGATAAAACAACCAAGTTCTCTCAATGTGGGACCTCAAAAGAGAAACCAGCAACTTGGGCCTTGGGAACTTCTTCCATTTTTCTGCAGATGGTCTAATGGGATCAACAGCAGCTGCATTGTATTTTACCTCGTTTCCAAAGTTTGTGTTCTACCAAAAGAGGACACACAATACACACACACACACACACACACACACAGATTGGTGTAGTGAAGAAAGTGGTTTAGGTATACAACAAACTTAAAATAGTCAGTGAATTGTGTTTTATTGCTTCATGTCCCAGTGTAAGCCTTTATGTCCTGAGTAGGACTTTATTAGTAGTATTATAGGTCAATAACATGTAGCAGAAATTCGTACTCTATTATAATAATGGCTTCTTGGGGCCATGCTCTGGGGAGGAAAAATGGCTCTGACATGCCTTTATACTTGGCGTGTTTATGATGGCTCAGCTGCATGTAGAGTTATATATACAGTCATGCCTGAAGTTGGATGCTACCTTGTCAAAATGAGGAATAAGTGACTGCCCGGAGCTGCTGGCGAAAAGCCACACTTTCTAAAAAGTATTATCAAGAGTGTCTGTCATTCAGGGGCCTGGTTGATAGAAGGGCTCTTTTGTACAAATTGAGTGCTTTTACTCTGAAATCCACAGAAGCTATTTGCTAAATGCTCACTGCTCTAGACTCATTGTAGAGGAACTCCCACTCCTGCACCTGGTTATTTTCTGTCTTAAATAGGTGCTGATTGGGGCAGTGCCTCCTTTCCCAAAAGTGCGATTGTCCCCTTTTCCCACATGGAATGTAATGGTGAGCTAAGTTATCGTGTTCCCTTTAAAAATTATAGTCCTTCTCAATGGAGACTCTAGAATTTCTTTACAGATGAGGTGGGGAGGTGGGTGGATATGAATCTAGTTGGAAAGGGGAACTCGAAGCTAAGTTTACATAGCACTTTATGTAAGACTGAAAACATGTCAGTTCATAACAGGGAATGTGGTGGAGGGAGCGGGCAGATAGGGACCGTGGGGTGAGAGAGGGGTAGTACTGAAGCCATCCTAGCATCCCTCAGAATCACTCCTGGTTCTCATGTAGTAGTGAATGTACTTCCAGGGAGTTTCAAGGCTACACTTCCCTTCTGTATGGGCTGCACTCATAGAAGTATAGAAAATGTAATGTCTGTTGAATATGAAATGGCACCACTGAATGACTTCAGTGATTAAGGTATGTTTTATTGTCATGTGCATTCTTACCTAGTCCCCGTAGTGACCTGTGGCACATATTTCTAACATACTTGGTTGGGTTTAAGGGAGAAATCTATGGACATAATTTTTTTCTTTGTGCCAGGCTCTGTGGCTTATGCAGTGTTTGGTCCTATGATCATGGGCTACTAATTACAACCTCTGCAGGTCAGGTGCCAAGGTGTTGCCTAATAGTCTTCCTTTCTACCTATGATTGAAAATAATTTATACATACAACTTAATTGACAGTTCAAACATCTCTACAAAGTCATGCCATTTTAGAGAAATGAAAACAGTCACAAAATTGAGTGATTTGCTCAAAATCACATAACTAAGCCAGGACTAAAATCCCAGACTTTCAGATTTTCTCTGGTCTGGGTTTTAATCTATTGTTTTTCAGTGATAGACCTGAGTCAGTCTGAGACCCATATTTGTGAAACAGTATGCCATGAATGTTTATCATCTATGTTGGGCATGCTTTTCTACACATTGTGAATACTTTCAACAAGGATCACCCAAGAATGCAACATCTACCTGTAATAAATGGGAAGAAAATTAGTTTCCTGAGAGAATAGAATATTAAGCACACAAATGCTTTCTAACATAGGGTTGTAAATTGTGCTCCTTATTTTAAGGTGCTGTGTATACATGCTTAAGGAATTATTAAACACTTACTTTGCTTGCTTTCTGTATTAACCAGTTCCACAGGATAATCTTAGGATTGAGGGTATTTTGAATCTTAAAATTTAAATTATCTTTTTATATGGCACAGTGTATATATTATGTATGCATTTAAAAAAATCTATTACCATTCAAGGAAAGATAAAGTTAAAAAAATCAGATTTTGTAATCAGTGTTGAAAAAAATCAGATAGCATGACTTACTTTGAGGATGATCCTGGATCTCATGTGTTTGATCTGCTCAAAAGTAATAACTAAAGCTGAGTTCCACAGTTTTTATTTATTTTGGGGTTCTGATTTATCCTAGCTGGCTATAGAAGTTGCCTGTCTGAATCCTAATCTTGTGTTTTCCATAGTGGTCAAAAGTCATTATCTACTTAGATGAGAATCTTTCATACAAAGTCAGTTTTACTTATGAGTTTAAGGGAATTTGAGATTATTTTTCAGATGTGGTATTTTAAAGGAACAACTTCATTTGTGTCAAAACTCTTGTGTTGCTTTTTGGTAAGAACTGATGAGAAGAGGAAAATATTAGCAACTTGGTACCAAATTTGGAAGGGGAGGGCAGAGTATAATTTCTACTAAGTGGTATGTAGTTGGAAAATAGGCCTCATTTTCTTCTTTGGATTCTTTAAAAGTCAAACACAATTAAAAATTTCAGAGGACATCGCTTTATTGGGCTATGAAATAGACTAAAAACAAGGCCATTTTTGCAGCAAAATGACCAAAAGCTAAAATAAATCATCTTAATCTGTGATGCTTATGGCATTCTTTGTTAAGTAAAGTGCAACACCTAGGATAAGTAATTAAAACAGTTATGAATCCCAAATAAGTTAATCTGATAGAGCTTTGCATTTTGGAATCTGGGACACTTATATCTGTATCTATACATCTGTCTCACAGAGTGGGAAGTTCTGATGGAGAGTAAAGGGGCAGAGTTACTACCTAAGTCACTGGAATTGAAAAAGTTAGTGTTGTGACAAAGGAGGTAGGCTGGCACAGTCATTGCTGATATGATGAATTCTCCACTTTGGCTCCAGATAAAGGCTCCTGGTGATGCATGATTCATTTCAGGTCTTTGTTTTTATTTTGGCTTCATTACTATGGTTCTGAGGCACACGATTTTGTTTTCCTGGGGAGAAGGCTATGTAAAAATCTCAATGTTAGAGGCTGTATTCAGTGTTCTGTATGTCTTGTGAACTTTATCTGAGCTGGGATGAGAGCACAGTGGCTTACTCTAGCAGCTGTGATGCCGTCTAGTCGGATGCATAGCTTCAAGATGTGTCATGGTTCATAGGATGGTGGGAGGGATGGTAGAAGCAGTTTGTGTTATTGTCAGTTACTTCCTTTGCTAATGCTCGAGCTGCCAGTTTTACTTGTCAGTATTTCCTTATCACCCACACCTGTCACAACATTTAGCAGAGTTACCGTCACTGGCAACAATCAGGATGGGTTCCTACCTCATCAGAAAACTGGTTAAGAGGGAAAGGGTGAGGGAAACGATGGATTCCACCACCAAGCACTAAATGCAGGTGGCACAGAGATGCTTTCTCCTGTGTTAAGATCACAAAAAGATGAATGTCAAATGCCTGGAAATAGCAACATCAAAAAGAAATAAAGAAAATGAGTAGTATTGCTGAAAGCATGGATTACAAAGTTTTTAATAAGCCCAGCAAAACAAACTTATGGCCAAAAAGGAAATTTTCCTGCCACATAGACACCATCAACACTTGGTAAAACTGCCAGATTTGGGAAATAAAAAATTTTCAAGCACAACATTGAAAGATGGAACAGATCCTGAGGACTGTCAGTAAGGAAAGCCATCTTAGCAAGGCAGAGAAGTGGAAAGCAAGGGGAGGTCATGGGGAGGTGCTGAGAGCAGGGCTTCTCAAAGTATGGTCCCTGGGCCAGTAGCATCAGCAGCCAGACCTGCTGAATCAGAAACTCCAAGGATGAGGCCCAGCAAGCTTTTAACAAGCCCTCCAGGGGGCTCTGGTGCATGTTAAAAGTTGAGAACCATAGGCTTTTTTCATGTACTATATCCTTCTAAGCTCAGAGGGGCTCTTGTATTCCTTCCATAAGTAAAGAGAAGTTTTGTGTATGACTCTTTGCAGTAACTGTTAATGTCTTTATTTCCCATATTTCTTTTTACCCCAGAAGCTCCTGAAGTATCCCCTGGAAATATTGAGGAAGGATGATGTGGAGGAAAGTACCATCAAGGCTGTGTTTTGATGAATGGAAATAACCTTTTAAAAATGGATAAAACTATAACAGTGAATTTTTAGTCTATGAATGATAGTCATTTTTCACAATAGACAGTAAAGATATTATTTGTGCAAGGCATTGTCGCCTCTGAGTTTACTATGTTTGTTCATTAGATCTTAGTTTCAAGGGAAAGTATCATGTATTTTCCAGCATGATAATGATGAATCATTTAAAATACGGCTTATAAAATGAAAAAAATAATTGGAAGGAAAACCACTTTGAATACATAGGTGTGTCATAAAACTGTTGAGTTATTGGTCATCTTTTGCTAGGACTTAATTTCCCATGATTTTTCCATGATCCCGCATAGTCACCCCCTATTGTCTTTGTTTTAGATTTCGGTTAGTGATTGATTCTTCAGGGGTTGGGGACCAATAGCAATACCATGCTATTTTTTGTTTTGTCTGATGCATGGGTTCAGCGTTTCAGAAAATGATATCTAATCTTAAAGCTTTGAAAAGAAACCATGACCATTTTTTCTTTATATTTTATTTGTATTAGTATTAATTGTGCTGGGCCCTAACTTGTTCTTCAAGCATAGGCACCCAAGGTGTGACTTTCAGGATATGCATGACTTACAGAGTTCATTGGGTTTGCAGAGGTATGCTAGTTCTCTAGTATCATTCCCTTGCATGCTCATGTGTGTAGATTGTTTAGCTCTCATGTTATTTTTTACAGTCTTTTACTGTACAATTTTTCTTTTCCATCTTGAAGACCAGTTAAAACAACCTCTGGCCAAAATTGTTAGTGTTACTAGATTTTATCAAGTGTGGAATAGAGAAAGTTAGAAGCCTTTTAAGATGTAAATTATTTAAATTAATGTTTTATTTCTCTAAATGTTAGTCTGACCCTTGCAGACCCCTCATTCAAATGTTTTTAACTGGAAAAGGAAAGAAAATATCAGAGAACTTAAAAACAGCTGTAAGTGGCTTTGACTTAAAAACCAGACCATGTCGTTTTATATATATTTTACGTCTTGCTCCTCCCAGTGGACCATGAAAAAAGTCTCATGACCATGCAAACTGATGGTACCCCTAAATCATGGCACCGATTTGAATTGCTGTCAATATTGATCTCAGTTAGCCCCTCCCCTGTTGTCAGCAGCTATTGCAAACTGGCCATTCTATTAGGTTATTAAGTATGAAACGTCCGATTTCTTTAAGCACTTGAGTTTGACAGTTGGTATCTCTGACATTTCACTTTGACACTTGTGTTATGTTTATTGTGAAGGAAAATCCTCAGTCTTTTAAATGCATGTTTTGGTTTGTGATTATCTTTCAAATTTTTTTAGAGCAATTTTTGTGAAATCATGGATAAGTCAAAAACTCGTGTTATTTTTGAATATGAATTCCATCATGGAACCAATGCAGCGCACACAGCTTGAAATATCAATGAAATTTGGTAAGGATGTGGCTAATGAGTGCAGAGTACATTGATGGTTCGAGAAGTTCCATTCTGGTTATTTTAACCTTGAAAATGAGCCACAGGAGCCACCTGAGACCAAAGTAGGATAATAATGAGCTGAAAGCTACAGTGGATGTGAATCCATCTCAACCTACACATGAATTAGCAGCAAGGTTTGACGTTACTATTCCAACAATATTTGACCATTTCAAGCAAATCGGCAAGGTAAAGAAGATGGATAGACGGGTTCCATGTGAATGAAAAGAACATCGGAAGTGAAATTGTCTGGAAGTTTGCCTTTCTCTGCTGTCATGACAAAAGCAAACCATTTTTATGCCGCATTGTTACATGTGATGAAATATGGATTCTTTTTGACAATTGCAAGTGTTTGGCACAATGGTTAGATAAAGATGAAGTGCCAAAACAAAGTCCAAAACCGAGTATTCATCAAAAAAAGCTAATGGTGTCTTTTTAGTTGTCCAGTGCTGGTATTATCCACTATAGCTTCATGAAACTTGGTCAACTCATTACAGCAGATGTCTGCTGCAACCAGTTGTATGAAATGATGAGGATTCTTGTGATTAAGGAGTGGAGATTGGTCAATAGAGACAGGCCAATCCTTTTGCAAGCTCGACCAAACAACGCTGCTCAAACTACAGTGGCTGGACTTGGAAACTCTCTGTCCTCCACCATATTCACCAGACCTTGTACCAACAGACTTCTCCCAGGCTTTGGACCACTTCTTGCAAGGAAAAATATTTAATTTTCAACAAGCTGTGCAAAATGCCTTTTGCAATTTCATCACCACTTGCTCTCTAGGCTTCTTTGCTGCTGGCATAAATAAGCTACCATTAATATGGCAAAACTGTGTCAATAGGTTAGGCGCATACTTTGATCAGTTGTACTGCTTCTTGTTTGAAATATAATAAACTACACTTTTGATTTGAAATCGGACATTTCATATTTAATGACCTAATAAACCCTTTCTATCCCCACCTTCTGTCAGCAGCTAATCTCAGCCCTCTCCTACCAGATAACAGCCTCAGGCAGAACTTCCCACTTACACACACCCTGGCACATACCTGTCTCCTCTTTTCCTTCTTGCTAGTGCCTGGCCTGCCCAGGATGAATCCCTTCTGTGCCCTAGGCCCCCTCCCTTGATCAGATGCCTTGCTCAATCTGGCTACAGCCTCTCACATAAAAGCACATACAGCTTTGCATTTAAACATGTTCAAAGGTTCCTCCTTCAAACAAAAATACTCTTCTTCAACCCTTCAAACTCCTGACTACTGCTAAAGTATACTATCCTCACCCTGCAACTCTTAATTCTACAGTCCACAGAAGCAGTGGTTTCTAACCATAGCTGCACATGAGATTCACTTGGGGAGCTTTTAAAAATCCTAATTCCCTGACTGGACTACAGACCAATTGTATCAGAATGGGCAGGTGGGGGACAGGCTTCAGTCTTTCAAAAAATGTGCAGCTGGGGCTGAGACCCCCTGTGCTAAAACCTGGCTGCTACATTTGTCACCATTAAAATTGTTCTTGCTGGGTTCACCAGTGACTTCTAGCTGCCAAAATTTAGTTAGGTTGATCTTATGATACTGATGCTATATAACCACTTCCTTTTTTGAAATTTTCGCTTTCCTGATTTTTCTTCTACTTTGCTCTTTCTCAGTTTCCACAAGCGGTCAGATTGGTTGGTAGGTCAGTCCAGCACAGACTGTGGGTGGCTGTCTCTGCCACCACCTCCATTACTTTAATGAACACCTATATGCTAATGAGTTTCTTTGCCATACCACCTTAATGCACTAAAAGTGCAGACTTAGAGTAAAGCATTTACATTAATTATCTTAAGCTTCTAGGAAAGGATACTGAAGGTCTCTGCTCCTTCTCTCACCTCCTTTGTTCCTCCTCCAAGTCCACTGAGGGAGGAGGAATTGCTAATTCGATTAGTTAGATGCTAAGATGGATCACCCCTGTTTACGACTAGGTGGAGCTGCTGTTCATGAAAAGTAAGGCCGGGACTGTGTCCTTATTCTGCTTTCTCCTCTCCAGGGTCTTGGGCTGGTAAGGAGGCCTGTGCCCAAGAGAGCCTCTTCCATCTAAGGGTCTCTTCAGTCTTTGACTTTCTGCTGCTATTAAGATTTTACTTGGTTTAGGTGGTAAGACAGATCCCACTTCCTCACCCTCGTTTGCCCTTGGGCTCCATGTTGGATCTTTATCAGAGAACTTATTGTTGGGGTTTCAGGCACTAGCCCTACTACTAATAAAGTGGAACTTGATTTCCCACATCACTATCATCAGTGCATGCTGCCCCTGGAACTGGATTTAGGGGTTCTACTCTTATCAGAATGGCCCCGGTGTGTTGCTGGCTTCCTTGAATCACTAGTTTCTGATTCCATGTCTATGTAGGTGGAACTAATTAGTAGTTATATGCCTATGTCCTAACTGTAGGAAGTGAGCATGAGGTTATCTGGAATGTTTGGCTTCTATTGGGAATTGATGAATTCCTCAAACAGAGGAAGGAACTTCAGATGCTAGATAGCCAATAAGAATAGCAAAGGTCCACTAGGGCCATTGCCCTCGCCAGTGATTCAACACACGCTTACTGAACACTAAGCTAGTCCTCCTCAGGGGCCTCTTAGGGAAGAGAACAGCTGCCCTAAAGCAGGGTATTTCTGAGTCCCTTAGATACAATATTCTTGAAACCACTAGGACCCTATCCAGAGTCCCTGGTAATAATAATGGTGAATAGTGACCAAGTGACTATGTACCATTTGTAAACAGCATCTCGTTTATTCCTAAACTCATAGGCAGGTACTTTTATATCCATTTTTAAGCAATGAAATATGCTTACAGTTACAGATTAACTTGCTCAAGTCACATAGCTATTAAGTGTCAGCCAGGATTTAAACTCAAGTCTATTTGATGTTAGAGTGTCTATTCCCAGCCAATACATCTGCTGCCTCTTTTCACAATAGGAATGAACTGTATGCCACTGGACCAGGGCCCCATGTCTGATGAGACCCCTTTACTCCACTGGCCTGTTGCTCCTGGTGGGCTGTTTCTCTATCCAGACAACTGTGAATGGGCTCATCCATTCTCTGTGCCTATATCATTCAAACAAAGGAAATAGACAATTTCTCTGACATCTTCATAGTACAACTTGTTTTTGTTTTTGAAAGTGATCAGAGCAAAAGAAAAGTCAATAAAACCTTCCAAGCCTATAGCAATAGAAAGGTATTGTCCTTTGTGTACCAGGGCACAACTCGTGCCTAAGCCAGGAGCTAGTTTCAAAACCTTGTTAAACATTAGATATAGAGTAGATATCTTTGACTGCTAGCATTAAAGCTCTCTTAACACTTTTGGCTTTTAGAAACATCTGTTTATTCAGTAGATATGTATAGAACACATTTCATGCCAACTACTCTGCTAGGAGCTGCATATACAGAGAGGAAGGGCATTCCTGTTCTCATGAAGTTCATGGTCTTCTGAAGAAGAGGCAAGAAAAGCCAGTCTTGCAATTTAGAGCGATGAATTTTGAGATAAGAATATCAGGGTATGTTGGCAGCAAGGTGGATGACACTTAAACTGAGCAATGAAAGCAGTCAAAAAACAAAACACTAAGCTAAATCCTGCAAGATGAGCAGGAGTTAGTGAAGAAGAGAAGA